CAGCTACTTGACTACAAGAACAGGCTCAAAGAGAAGTAATGCCCACCATGGAGACTAAGACTGGTAGCCAACAAAGACAACGTGGAATGAAGTTAGTAAGCTGGATCAACTTCAAAGAGGAGAAGAGATCAAAGATCTGCTTGGCTGCTGTGGATATGTATAAGTGTACAAGTACAAGAATATGCCCATACGAGAAACAGGTAGACAAAGACTGGCAACCAGACTGAGCAGATACACCAGCGATTCAGAGGCTAAGAGAATCAATGCCTTGTTACCAAAGAACCATCCATTCTAGTTAGGTGGATCAGTGAGTCACACTCATAGTTAGGTGGATCTGTATGTCCCACTCATTGTTTGCATATGCTTCTTGATTATCTCGCTAAGGGGATTGAGGCCTCTGCAAAACAGCAGTGGAGATAGTGTGTCACCATTTAATGTCCTGGAATTGGCTTCTAGAGTTGTTTTCCACTTGTCCATCAAGTTCTTGAGGAAGGATCTTATTGACTTGTTGACCTTGTATAGAGCATACACATTGGATGGTTCTTTGGTAACAAGGCATTGATTCTGTAGCAAGGACATCGGAATGTTGTTGGGACTAGAGAAGTGCTGGCGGATGATAGCAAAAAGAGGGAAGGTGATCAAGACAGAAGGATTTCAAGTTCCAGAAAGCCAAATATAAGATATAGAGAACAGCTAGAAATACCTGGCGGTACCACAAACGCATGGCAATCATGACAAAGAGGCAAGGATAGCAACATCTAAGTCCCTCCAAAGAGTCTGACAGGTCCTGAAGTCCCAGCTCAATGGCAAGATCCAAGCAAGGTACCGGTCATCAGGTACCCAGCTGGAATGATAACCTGTCAAGATCCGGAAACTACTCCCAAAATACAGCACCCAGAGACCAGCCGGAAGGAAGGAGGTCAGGGACTGATGAGTGTCAAGGCCACAGTCCTGGATGAAACACAGAGCATCCACAAGTACATCACGAAGATGGCTCCCAAAGATGAACTGCTAAAGGAATGCCTGAGACAACAACAGATACAGGATGCAGAAAAAGAGGTGGTCCCTTGGCAAGACAAACCTCTCCATGGGTTGTACCACCAGCAGATAGTGGATGTGGCTCACATGACAAGATCCTACCAGTGGTTGGAAAAGGCAGGACTGAAAGACAACACTAAGGCACTAATCCTATCTGCACAGGAACAAGCACTCAGCACCAGATCAATAGAAGCTGGAGTCTACCACACCAGGCAAGATCCAAGGTGCAGACTGTGCAAAGAAGCCTCTGATGCAAGATGTTAGCAGGAACAGCATACACGGAGAGACACAACCAAGTTGCTAGGATTGTCTACAGAAACATCTGCACATAATGTGGATTGGACCTGCCTAGGTCCAGATGGGAGATACCATAAAGGGTAGTTGAGAATGACAGGGCTAAGATTCTGTCAGACAAGCAAGTGCTGGCCAACGTACCCGACATTGTGATGGTAGACAAGGAGCGGAAGCTCACTGTCACACACATGCTCACTACAGACAAGCTCACTGACACACATGCTCACTGACACACACATACTTAATACAAACAAGCTCATTGACATACATACACATGCTTACAGAAAAGCTCCCTGACACACATGCTCACTACAGACAAGCTCTCTAACACACACACAAGCTCACTACAGAAAATCTCACTGACACACATACCTGCTTACTACAGACAAGACCACTGACACACATGCGCCCTACAGAAAATCTCACTGATACAAACATGCTCACTACAGACATGCTTACTGGCACACACACATGCTTACTGACACACATGCTCATTATAGGCAAACTCAAGGACACACACCCAAGCTCACTACAGACAAGCTCACTGACATACACCCAAGCTCACTACAGACAAGTTCACTGACATACACATGCTCACAACAGGCAACTCACTGACACACAAACACTTACACATGCTCACTACAGGTAAGCTCACTGACACACACACTCACTACAGACAAGTTTACTGACATGCACAAGCTCACTACAGAAAAGCTCAATGACACACACACATGCTTACTGCAGATAAGCTTACTGACATACATGCTCACTATAGACAAGCTCAATGTCACACACCCAAGCTCACTACAGACAAGCTCACTGACATACACCCAAGCTCACTACAGACAAGTTTACTGACATACACATTCTCACTACAGTCAAGCTCACTGAAACACACACACTTACACATGCTCACTACAGGTAAGCTCACTGACACACACACACACGCTCACTACAGGCAAGCTCACTGACACACACATGCGCACTACAGACAAGCTCACTGACATACACACACACACAATCACTACATACAAGCTCTATGATGTATACACAAGGTCACTACATACAAGCTCACTGAAACACAGTTTACTGAAACACACATGCTTACTGCAGACAAGCTCACTGACACACACACACAAGCTCACTACACTCACTACAGAAAAGCTCACTTACACACACATACACATGCTTACTACAGACAAGCTCACTGACACACATACTCACAACATACAAGCTCGCTGTGACACACACATGCTCACTACAGACATGTTCACTGACACACACCCAAGCACTGACACACACACATGCTTACTATAGACAAGTTCACTGACACACACAAGCTCATTACAGAACAGCTCACTGATACACATACATGCTTTCTGTAGACAAGCTCACTGACAAACATGCTCACTACAGACATGCTTACTGGCACACACACATGCTTACTGACACACATGCTCATTATAGGCAAACTCAAGGACACACACCCAAGCTTACTACAGACAAGTTCACTGACATACACATGCTCACTACAGGCAAGCTCACTGACACACAAACACTCACTACAGACAAGTTTACTGACATGCACAAGCTCACTACAGAAAAGCTTACTGCAGACAAGCTTACTGACATACATGCTCACTATAGACAAGCTCGATGTCACACACCCAAGCTCACTACAGACAAGCTCACTGACATACACCCAAGCTCACTACAGACAAGTTTACTGGCATACACATTCTCACTACAGGCAAGCTCACTGAAACACACACACTTACACATGCTAACTACAGGTAAGCTCACTGACACACACACACGCTCACTACAGGCAAGCTCACTGACACACACATGCACACTACAGACAAGCTCACCGACATACACACACAATCACTACATACAAGCTCTATGATGTAGCTTACTGACACACATGCTCATTATAGGCAAACTCAAGGACACACACCCAAGCTCACTACAGACAAGCTCACTGACATACACCCAAGCTCACTACAGACAAGTTCACTGACATACACATGCTCACAACAGGCAAGCTCACTGACACACAGACACTTACACATGCTCACTACAGGTAAGCTCACTACATACAAGCTCACTGAAACACACATGCTCACTGCAGACAAGCTCACTGACACAAACACACACAAGCTCACTACACTCACTTACTCACGACAGGCAAGCTTACTCACAAACTCACACACACACATGCTCACTACAGGCAAGCTCACTGACACACACATGTTCACTACATACAAGCTCACTGACACACACAAGCTCATTACAGAACAGCTCACTGATACACATACATGCTCACTGACAAACATGCTCACTACAGACATGCTTACTGGCACACACACATGCTTACTGACACACATGCTCATTATAGGCAAACTCAAGGACACACACCCAAGCTCACTCACTCACTCACGACAGGCAAACTTACTCACAAACTCACACACACACACATGCTCACTACAGGCAAGCTCACTGAAATACACCCAAGCTCACTACAGACAAGTTTACTGACATACACATTCTCACTACAGGCAAGCTCACTGAAACACACACACTTACACATGCTCACTACAGGTAAGCTCACTGACACACACACACGCTCACTACAGGCAAGCTCACTGACACACATGCGCACTACAGACAAGCTCACTGACATACACACACAATCACTACATACAAGCTCTATGATGTATACACAAGGTCACTACATACAAGCTCACTGAAACACAGTTTACTGAAACACACATGCTCACTGCAGACAAGCTCACTGACACAAACACACACAAGCTCACTACACTCACTACAGAAAAGCTCACTTACACCCACATACACATGCTTACTACAGACAAGCTCACTGACACACATACTCACAACATACAAGCTCGCTGTGACACACACATGCTCACTACAGACATGTTCACTGACACACACCCAAGCACTGACACACACACATGCTTACTATAGACAAGTTCACTGACACACACAAGCTCATTATAGAACAGCTCACTGATACACATACATGCTTTCTGTAGACAAGCTCACTGACATACATGCTCACTACAGACAAGCTCAAGGACACACACCCAAGCTCACTACAGAGAAATTTAATGACATGCACATGCTCACTACAGACAAGCTCACACACACACTCACTCACTCACTCATGACAGGCAAGCTTACTCACAAACTCACACACACACACATGCTCACTACAGGCAAGCTCACTGACACACACATGTTCACTACATACAAGCTCACTGACACTCACTCACTAGCAGGCACATACATACACAAAAAAGGGGGTTAAGGGCTGCGCTAAAAAAAATAATAGATAATAGTAAAACTTTTACCATTTTGAAAAAACCTCATAGATGAAACTCGTAAATGGTTTTAATAAGTGTATTTTAAATCAATAAGTTATTTTTGGTTACCTTTTATACTAGGACCAATTCTATACTTATTTTTATTGCATTTTATACACTTTTACTACTCCTGGCCTTTTTAAACTTATTCTCAAGTGTATCCCGTCCAAAAAATCCTTAGGTGGGGATAATTCCACCAGCGCTGTGGCAATAGAGCAGTATCTGTCTGCTCTATTCTTGTAAGTATAACTTATTTATTAAGTATTACTTTATTGTTCACACTGAGAGCACTATCTGCTGTTTTATATATTTCGTGGATACCCATTATCCAAAATTGGAAGAGGCGGACCTATCTCCTAAGCACCAAAGAATTGCGTACATCTGAGTAGGTCCCAGCCTACACCAAGGGAATTCCAAGCCAGACAGACGGACCAACCATCCAAGTATATCCTTTAGTGGGGAAGTATATCCTTTAGTGCCTCTTCTCCTAGAGCTGGCTCAAGCTCCAACAAATGTGAGTGAAATATCTTTCTCTTGATTTATACATCACATCTGGACATACAATATTTCACCATTGGCATCTCTCTTTTTGTTTTTATTTCCACATATATGGACTATCTGCCATACGGAAGGAGCAACACCTGAGGATTATTATCTTATCATCAGATCTCAGTGAGACTGTTTCAATTTATTCTTGGATTAACTTTTGTCTATTGATTATATCTGGTTTTACTATTATCTATTATTTTTTTAGCGCAGCCCTTAACCCCCTTTTTTGCATTTTCCAGTCTCTTAAAGGGTTTTTTGAGGGATTCCCCTTTTAGGGTTGCTGCTCTTTTGGTTCAGCGCAGACTCTTCCCCCCTTTTTGTTTCACATACATACACAAAATCACTGTCATGGGCTTCCTGAAGCTTATGTGGCACTGAACCGCGGTGCGAGCCATTTTCTGGCCTTTTCTGCAGGTGAGGACAGCAGCTTGGGTGTAGGGGTGGAGCTTGAGTTCCGGGCTGAGTTTATGCATGGGAGTCATTTAGTCTGTTTTATCCTTTTTCCATTTGGGAGTACTGAATATGAAAGATATAAATTTGTCTCCCGAAGGAGGACCACCCCTGTACCCCATTAGAACGTACACACCAGCAACTTAAGTGCAAAACTGCGAGGGAAGTAATTAGTGAATGCTGTCCCTGAGTTGCCGCCATTTCGTAAAAGCGAATGCACATGGTTGACAAAAGAAAAGCAGTCATCTTGTCTCCCAAACGTGCGCAGCGGTACTTGGTTGTCGAACGAAGCTCGGTAAAGATTAGACCACTACCAGTTCTATTTCCCAACCACCTATACGAACGACGTTTGAGAGATATGAACTACTGAACAGGGGGATCATTTATATTGTGAAATTAAGAGATTCCCTTGCATGGTGTTCGCAAAGGAACCCCTAAAAAGAGACTGGCCAGGACACCTATTTCCCTGGAATTGTTTTGGACTAGAGCTTCTTGTCCAGCCGTACAAAAATTTACCCCAGTGGCATTCCAGTTTCACCAAACCGATCTGAGTGATCTTTGGATATACACTGGTTATACACTCAGATCGGGGCTATCCGGGGATGTACTTTTCGTGGGGTTCCTGCGTATGGTGGGGGCACTTTTGGGTACTGTATATTTTATATGGATTTTCTGTACCTGTGAAATAATTGGATTATAGGTTTTTCTCACGCAATTATCTCTCAGGCACAGAGCATCCTGGGATTGAAAACCCTGTATTTGTGTGTAGGAAACCCTATATGGGGGTCTGGGCACAAAAGCCATATGTGGCCTGAATAAAATTAGTTGACTAACAGGACTATGTTTCGTCTGGTTACTGGGGGAATGGATGCCTGCAGGTTTTAATGGTTTCAGATTGGCTGAGTGAAAGAATTAGCGGAGGTAGCGGGTTGGGTTACCCGTGATCTACTACAGCGTAGGTGGGGTTTAAGAGGCTGAATTACTGGAAATTGTGAAGGTAGACCCACAGGTCCCCCTTTGGCTGCCGGCAGCCTATATGTGGCTGCACCAGCCCCCAGCAACTCCCGTCTTCATTCAAATAATTCAAAGAGAATTAATCTAATAAATAAGGCTGACTGCCCGGCCCCAAGCACTGCGGACCCCTGGGAAATTTTCCTGTATCACGGTGGGCCACTCCAGCCCTGACAACTCTGATGATTATTTCAGCATTCTTTGAGACGCACAAGCAAGGTGTTGCTGATACCCCTCTAGGTACATGAGCATGGGGTTCACATCTGGATTACCTTTTTAAAAGTAAATTAATTGCAGCAAAAACTGAGAATATATGAACTCTGACAGGCAAAAGCTCAGAGAAATCTCAACAGTTTGCCTTCAGTTAGTCCTTACCTATGTCTCAGAAAAGGTTTTAGCTCACTTGTGTCAATACAGAGAGAAACCTTTATTATTTTCATATCAGACTAATCCCATTGATAAGGCCATCCATCTCTGAAATGCCAGCAAGTTTACTCTGCAGTGAGCAACCCTGGACAATCATTTCTGCCTTCTCATAATATCTATTTTTGCCACAATGCATTTAATTATAGATTGATGTGTCTCTCTGAGAGTGTATAGCTAGGTACCAACAAGTGGTCCAATGGAGAGCATTCCTTCATGATCCAGGGAGGGAGCAATGTGGTATTCACCAATTTCAGGTGCAGATCACTTTAAGAAGTGAGGGAGTTTAGTTAAGAGCAGGGAGATTTTTTGATTACCTACCAGGTCAGGGAAAACAGAGCCTGAATTTGAGGGTCTGACATAGGCCCAACAGGAACCCAAGGCCAAGGGTAAGAAGACTTTTATAAGCTAAAGGTGTTTTAGTTACTATAGTGTCTCTTTAAGAAATTTTGTTAATGCTTTTATTATTTCAGAAAAAAGCCAAAACAACCAAGAAAACAGACTTCTCTAAGTCTTCAGACTTCAGACTTCTCAAATAACCCAGGAAAAGATCTAGTGGAGGTTTTTCCTGCAGACGTCGATATGGTACATTTCCATTTTTTCCAAGAATAGTCAAATATAACTTTAGATGTATGAATTATTCAATGTGTGCAAGGTTATCAAATAGATTTTCTATCTTCTCCACCCCAGAGAATGGTTACACATTGTGACAAACTCCCCTTTTCAAGTGAGTTTGCCATGAGTTCCTGGAGGAGCCTGCTTGCCAGCCTCCTGCACACAGACTATGGACCTTGTAAAATATGATATAAAAGTCTCCGTTCATATATTGGGACTATATGGTTTGAGAGACCACCCTGGAGCTTGTTAAGCCTAATTGCTACTTTGTAACAATTTCCATCTCAGTGTTCTAAGTGTTCGTCTGGGTGGCTGCAATTTCTATGGACGACCACGAGGTGGCGACCATCTTGTTAGCATGAACGCAGGCAGCAGTGTTTGGTCGTAAAGTTCATGGAACTATTTTCGGATACTGAAACTCCTGAACACCGCTGGACTTCCATGATAGCCTGCATTTGGTTCGAGAACACTTAGAAAGACACTGTTTGGTGGAAACGTTCCCACGAAGAAGGGGAACAAGCTCCAGGGTAAGAGTATTGACTATGTTCGGTAGTTTGTTTATTTTTAAACTACTGAACTAGACCGACCGCAAGCCCTGATTCTTTGGAACTGTTTTGGGCATGGGATCATACGTGCGGTTGGTCAAACAAATGACTGCCAGGAAATTCCTGAACCCCTGAACTGATCTGGGTGATTTGGGGATATGTTGGTCACTCAGATCCAGACTATCAGGGGATGTAACTTTTGTAGGATTTAATGTACTTCTAGGGTACTTTGGGGGTATTTGGGAAAAAAAGAATGTTTTTTTTCTGTGCTTGGAGATAAATAGATCAGATTAGTACAGTTCCTGATCCAATTATCTCCCAGGCACAGAGGAGGGACGATCTGATTATGTATGTGAGTGTCCTGGATCTGAGAGCCAATGTAATTGTGTATTTGTTACTACTGTGGTTTACTCTCAGATCCAGGCGGGAGGTCCCCTTGCATGGGGACATGCACATAAGGCCAGTTGTGGCTCCCATTAAAGTATTCCAGCTTGTACTCCCAGAACTATGTGTCATCTGGTTACTGGGAGGAGAAAGGGCTACTCTTTAATCACTGTTCCATTGCGAAGGATTCAACAGGGAAAGTCCTTGTAATGACTAGAGCTCCCAGGACTAAGTGTCGTCCAGTGCCTGTAGGTGTCTAACGTTAATTCCCCGTTCGGCTCCAGGAGAGAGCGGTTCCATTTCCCCAGTCAAGCCACATTGACTGTGGGCAGAAGTGCTGCAGTTTGTCCCCTGTTTCAGCTAGGAAGCGGTCCTTGGCAGAGGTACTCAGCCGGGGTACAGGGAGCTTCGTCACACACATATTATACAAATTTCAGAATCAAATGGCAAAAATAGGATATGCCTAAAGACACAAAATGGAGAAGAAAATATCATATTGTAATAACATAAGAATATGAGGAATCTCTAGAGCTCAAGGTTACACTCACCGAGTTCCGAATAATTCAGGCTCATCAACAATATGCAGATTCCCGCAGATTCAACAGTGTTCATATGTAGGATGAGTGATGTGAAGAGAAAAATATAAAACATGCAACACTGATATAAATTTAAAACATACTTTAATGGCTACACTTACAAAGAACAAGTAGATAAAAGGCCGATCAGTATAGTCCTGTGTCCCCAGTCCTGTTCTTGGTAGTATAAGGTGCTGGAGTCCTCGCAGCTCCGTGAGCAGAAAATATAGCAGCATACAAAACAATAAAAAACAATAACTCTACTCGTTTAGTCTAATTACTAGTCTAATGAGGAGTAAGAAAAGTGCTGTATTTGTGCATGTATTAAAGTGCTGTGATCTGTATAGGAACTGGAACCTGCTTTTAAAAGTCCCTCCCAAGTACAACAGATTGCTCTCAGCCAATCCGTCTGTGTCTTTTCATCTGTTTTGGATCAGTCAGTTTGCGCTTCCCTTAAAAGGAGTTTCGGTCAGTGTCCTTGGAACGCATATGAGTTCCACCTACCCAGAAATGGATGATACCAGTCCTTAATTGAAGATGACTTGTATGATGTGCATCTGGAACACAGATGTGTTTTAAATGGTCGGTGGTTTTCTCCATAACGATAATCATTATGTCCTCTTGTGTATCTCAAAATAGAGTACTCAGTTACAAGTACCATACAATAAAATAAAAATTAAAAGAACTAATAAGTGAATAACTGCATGTTAAAAATGTAAAAACATCTCACAGTTCGATCTACATTGAAGTGCAGCGACATTAAATGATATGGACATATGATTTTTAGGTATAAAGAATAAGGAGTGAACAACCACCACTAGAAGTGTGTCATCTACTAACCGGGGAATTGGAGACACAGATTAAATTTGCAGTATTCAAAATCCCCATATTGAAGGGAAGAGTATTAAATGTATATGTAAAAAGTATATACATTTAAAAAAATAAAATAAAAAAAATGAACGTATAAAGATGAAATATTACTGTAAAAAACAAATTAAATCAAAATCCACATTCAGT